AAAAAAAAAAAAAAAAAATGCTCCTCTGGGCTCAGCACCCATAGCACAGTGGTTATGGTGCCAGCCATATACATTGAGAGTAGTGAGTTTGAACCCGGCCCAGGCCGGCTGAACAACAACGACAACTGTAATAACAACAAAAAATAGCTGAATGTTGTGGTGGGTGCTGGTAGCCCCAGCTACTCAGGAGGCTGAGGCAAGAGAATTGCTTAAGCCCAAGAGTTGGCGGTTGCTGTGAACTGTGATGCCACAGCACTCTACCCAGGGCAACAGCGTCCCCTGGGTGGGGTGCTTCTCACTTTTTACTGTGTGGGGGAGGCGCTGAGAGGGCAAGTCCACCCAGGTCACCTGCCTGCCTCAATGTCAGAGAGGAATGCCCCTGCCCTGGGTTGATGTCTGTCTGTCTCTCAGGTTCCTGTTCTTCGTGTCCTGCTGTCTGCTGACCTGCAGGGGTTCCAGTACTTCTCCACTGTGGAGGAAGCAGGTGGGTGCAGTTGGAGGGAGGCTGGCGTGCCCATCCTGCAGGTCAGGGCAGAGCAGGGCTGGCGGAGGAGACAAGGGGGCCTCTCAGTCTTGGAGGCCCTTTCCTCCTTTGGGGACATGTTTTTTAGGGGAGTATGAAGTTTAAATACATTAAGCAGAAAGGTGCATAAATGTGTAGTACAGTTTTGAGTTCTGACAGATGAATGTGCCTGTGTATCCACCAGTCTGGACCAATCAAGATAGAACATTTCTGTTCTACAGGCTCACACCTGTAATCTCAGCCCTCTGGGAGGCCAAAGCAGGTGGACTGTTTGAGCTCAGGGGTTAGAGACCAGCCTGAGCTAGAGCAAGAATAGAAAAATAGCCCAGCATCATGGTAGTACTTGTAGTCCCAGCTACTCAGGAGGCTAAGGCAAGAGGATCGCTTGAGCCCAAGAGTTTGAGGTTGCTGTGAGCTAGGCTGACCACCACTGCACTCTAGCCTGGACAACAGAGTTAGACTCTGTCTCAAAAAAAAAAAAAAAAATCCATCATTCTAGAAAATTCCCTCATGCCCTCTCTCTAGAGGGCACCACCATTCTGATTTCTGCCACTGTAGGTTGATTAGTCATAAACATTCCTCTGTGTCTGGCTTAGGCTGTGAGGTTCACCCACACTATTGCAAGAGGCAGCTCAGATGCCATGCTGGGTGGGTCTGGACAGAGGGGCTGGGACCTCGGCCTTAGAATAAATGCCTCCATCAGTGACAAGGCACTAGGGGTCACACAGGCAATAGTGACAGGCTTAGGGAGATTTACGGGAGACTTTTGCAGTTAGGGTTGCTGGCCTGAGCCTGAGTGCCTTCCTGTGTGCCAGGGCCCTAGGATGTCAACCCCTGTCCCTGTCACCCTCGCCTTGCCTTTCTAGTGCTGGAACAACTTATTGTATTCTCTGTAGAGAAATACCTGAGGCAGGAGCCGGGGACCCAGCCCTACCACATCAGCGAAGACTCTCTTCCGGAACACAAGGTCGCCCTGCTGAAGGCTTAATGAGGCCACCCTTGGGCATCCAGAGTTTGGAGGAAGTCCTGGAAGGTTCTCACACTGTGATTTGCTGCTGGATGCCAGATGCTGCCTGACAGACACGCTGGCCTGCTACGAACACCTGAGCAGGTGACCCTGGGGGAGGGGAAGGAGGCCTGCGTAGAGAGGCACAGGTGGGCCTCATTGAAGCCCCTCCTGCTGTTCCCTGGCATGAACCCTTTGGGAAGAGTGGTTTGGAGAGAGACAGACCACATGAGAAAGGAAGGAGCAGGGGTTTCCAGCCTGGGCCAGGAGTGGGATCCTCTGGCCTGCAGCACCTGCTGGGGTCTTGAGTTCCACCTTGGAGCCAGGGGGCGGGGTTGGGGAGGTGCCGACATCTGGGAGACTAGTCTGCTCTCAATGGCAGGATTTGTGCTGTTTTTGGAGAGAAAACCAAGATGTGCCAAATGAAATCTGTTTAAAAATCATTTTGTGATTTTTAAATGAAGAAGTTAATAGCTTTGGTGATTTTGTAAAATTCATAAATGAACCATAAAACCTAGGAAACCATTCCCCGCCAGTCCACTCTGGTGACCTCTCCAGTGCCCCAGGGTGTGTATCTGTCTGTCAGTGTGTGGTTGTGTTTACAGCTTCACGGAAACGGGATCATTTCATACATGGTGCTCTGTACCCACATTTTTCATGTAGTAATTTTCTGTGAAGTATTTATTGTGATAATAAATAGTGTCTGGATATAGGACTCTTAATGTCTACATGTGTCTGTCATTGGTGAGCCTCTGTTCCCTGTGTGCGTGGGTTACGGACATCCCTGTGCCCCCCCAGAGTGCTAAAGGTGAAGCCCCCCCACCTGCAGTGTGACCCTGTCCAGAGGGGTCCCTTGAGGAGGGAATTGGGGTTAAATGAGGTCACAGGGTGGGGCCTTGAGCCAATAGGATTAATGTCCTTCGAGGAGATAGCAAAGAGCTCTGTCCCTCCAAGGCCAGGCCCTGAGATGACCTGGTGAGAGTGAGCCCATAGCTGGCCATGAGAGGCCTTCCCAGATCCTACAGTGGCCAGCACTGTGGTCTCCAGCCCCCAGAACTGTAAGGAAATTAATTTCTGTTTTTTAAGCCCCCACCCTGGATATTTTGTTACAGCAACCTAAAACTGTGTGTGGGTGTCTTTATTTTTACTTGGTCACTCCTGGGGACAAATCCCTGGAGGTCCGAGGCTGCCTGGGAGGTTTGCTGTCCCTGGACTTGCTTCAGGAAGAATTTGCTGTGCAGAGCCACAGGCTGATGGCCACCGCTTGAGGGCCCAGGCCTCCAGTATTCCTCTTGGGCAGTCTTGGCCAATATCCGAGCACAGTTGGGGGACGGGCTGGTTAGTCCAGCTGGGCTGGGCCTGCCTAGCAGGTGGTGCCTGCTCTGGGCTCCTCACCGGGGCGCTTCCTCATCATGGGACTCCAGGTCCCTGTCTTCAGCCTCCTGACTGCTGCTGCCAGGGCCCTGACTGACCAGCTAGACCGATCACTCCTGCCCCTGAAACATGTATTTTCTGGCTTCCAGCAGCTTCTCTTTCTACACAAAGTGAACCTGTCCCAAAGCTCTGCTGGCAGGACCCAGGCTATAAAGGGCAGTGGCCTCTTTTTAGCTTGTACATTCCAGGAGCACCATTCCTGAGCCAAGAGCCAGTCCATTCACAGAACCAAGTGGAGGAAATAGACATACCATGGTATGTACTGGGCACCATCAGTTCATTTAAGTCACACTCTCACTCAGCAGTTAGCATTGCTGGATCTGCTCAGGCCAACACACCGAGGCAGCCCCCAGAGGAACGGAGGCAAGGATGTTTATCGCAGCCTTGTTAGTAATGTTAAGAACTGGACAGCAACCTTCGAGTCTCTCAGCTTGAGCGTGTCTCAGCTGTAGGAGAGGAAGACTCCGTGGAATGTCGTGTGGCAGTGAAAGGGATGAGGTCTCTGACTCCTGAGCTCAGGCGATCCTCCTGCCTCGGCCTCCCAGAATGCTGGGATTACAGGGTGAACCACTGCGCCAGCCTCTCATCTCACTTTCTAAGGCTGGATTTAAATGTCTTTTTTTGTCCACATTGTTCCTACAAGGAATAGACAAGAACAAAGAGAATTGAAAGGACAATGTCTGAGGGGCATTAAGATGGCCCTGCAAATCCAAAAGACACCTTCCTTTGTGGGGCCTGGTCTCTTCCTGGGGGGGATTCTGATTCTTAAAAGATGTGTTGGGTTTTGCAATTAAAGGCCCAGCAGGCAGTTAGTCAGGTCAGGAAGCAGACTTGGACCTGTGACTTGTGGGGGATGAGGGGTGTAGGGGGTGTGTGTGTGCATCTGGCAGGTGTCCCTACACCCCGCCAGGCTGTGGTGCTTAGTACACTCTGCTGGTCCCAGCCTGTGAGTGGTGACCCTGCTGGCCTTTCACAGTCTAACCTGTCACTTTAGGACAGGCTGGGGTTCTGACGCTCAGGCTGGCAGGGCACATGTCATGCCTCCCCTCCCAGACCCCACAGCACCCACACTGGGCTGCCACTGCCCCTCAGGCTGCACCTAGGAGTGGCCATGTGCTGCCGGTCTGGAAGGGCATTGCAATCTCGGCCAGCACTCTGCTGGTGTTGCCTCGGATCCGACAGGCAGCATGGGTGGCGTGGGGCAGAGTCATCATCTCCCTTCCCTTGATATTCTTGTAAGGGGTTCCCAGCATGGGCTGCCAGGACCTGGCGGGTTGCAGGCCAGTTGAGAATAAGATGGAGTCATTCAGGCTGGGGCTGAGACCACACACTGGTCTGGTCGGTTTAGGTCCTACCTGACCGTCACCTCATGTCTCCCATTCAGCTTTAACCTAAAAGTGTCTATCTTGAGTAGTTTTGGGCAGTTGATTTAGGAGACCAGCCTTAGAATTAGAATGTTGTTTTGGGTCCTGGGTTATGCTGATTATTGTTTAAGATAAAGATTAATATGATTTTTGCTCTAAACTTTCTTTCCTTCTTTTTTTTTTTTTTTGAGACAGCGCCTCAAGCTATTGCCCTGGGTAGAGTGCTGTGGCATCACAGCTCACAGCAACCTCCAACTCTTTGGGCTCAAGTGAGTCTCCTGCCTCCGCCTCCCAAGTAACTGGGACCACAGGTGCCTGCCACAACGCCTGGCTATTTTTTGGTTGCAGCCATCATTGTTGTTGGCAGGCCCTGGATTCGAACCCACCACCTTAGGTGTATGTGGCTGGTGCCTTAGCCACTTGAGTCACAGGCACTGAGCCTGAACTTTCATGTCTAAAACTGATTTGGGAAATGGAAGAACAGAATAATCTTGCAGAGACTACTCTCTGTTCTCCAGAATTGCCCACCTTCTGACAAAGTTTGGAGGACTGTGGATGGAATTTTCCTTGCTCCGTAACCCGGCCCTGACGGACAAGACTTCAGAGTAACCAGATGTCCCTGATGCATGCACAGGAACATCTGGCGCTTGGAAGCAGGCCCTCAAGTGACTCTTTCTTAAGGAAAAGGTCAGGGAACACTCAGGGAGAATTGTTTTGGGTTATGTGCATTGGGGAAGGAGACTACCAGCCCGGAGAAATGTTACTAGTTGACAAAGAATTGTAACATTTTCTTTCCAATAAAAACCCTGCAGAAGCAGAGGTGAGCCTCTCTCCTTGCAGCTTGTACTGATCATCCGTGTCCTGTGATCCCTTTCCTCAGAGAAACAGCAACAGCGGACCTACTCCTGTCTCTGCATATTGGGTGACAGTGACAGGCAGCTGGACCCTCTTGGTAACACACCCACTGCCTGCAGCTCAGACAGCTGACCTGGGAAGCCGGCCCTGCAAGGGGTGAGGGTACTGCAGGAGGGGCACCCCAAGGAGGGTAGAGTTGGGGGTGCGCGGCCCAGAAGAAAGGAAGGTGTAAGTGGAGCCGGTTACAGAAAGCAGTGAGGGTCCCTGTGGTGTGCTGTTGTGACCTGGGAGGGCAGAGGAAGGCGGGGTCGGCTGGGATGGTGCCTTACAGCACCAAGGCATCGGCCCCATGGTAATAATTAACTCTCCGAGGGCCCTGGGAAGCGGCACTCTGAGACTCACAGGTAAACTGAGGCTCAGAGGGGACCTAGTGCTCGCGGGCCACGACCTCCCCATGGTCAGTGTCTGGGCGCTTGGTGGTGGTGGGAGGGCGGCGGCGGTCAGTTGGCACAGGCCCCGAGCAATGCGCTGGTGACCTCCTCTGCACTCCGGGTGGCCTGGAGCTCGGGTGACCCGCCCGAGTCTGTGGGTTAACATGGCCCTGGACACCGCCCAAGGTGTTAGGCGCCCGCGAGACCCGGTGCGACCCTCGCTGGCCAGAACTGTGGCCCCAGCCGCCACCCGCGCCAGGAGCTGGGCGAGGACGCGCCTCCCCGGGGCGGGCAAGTACGGGGTCCGCTGGGGGGCGCCACCGGGCTGGGATCCCGCCACGCCTGCGCGAGTGCGGCGGCGCGGGCGGAGGCAGGCCGAGCCCTCGCGATCCCGGGGAACGTAAAGGCGCGAGCGCAGCTGCAGGTGCGGGCGCGAAGAGGACAGGATCCGGGGCGCGGTCCCGGGGTTGTTGCCCGCGGGGTGTGGTCGGGTGGGTTCGGGATGCCGGGGTGCAGTGGGTGCGCAGGGCAGAGGTGCAGGGCTCCGCTGCGGTCCACAGGGTGTGAGTCCCCTCGAGCTCGGTGCCCGCTCCGTGCATGCGTGTGGCCCCGCGGGCAGGTCGGCGGGGTATGAGTGCCCCGGGCGGGGTGCCAGTCCTGGAGAGCAGATTCCCGCGGGCTGGGTGCGCGGCGCGCTGCCTGCGTCCAGATTAGTGGCCGTCCGGCTCCCGCCCCTTCCCGCCTGTTCCAGTAGACTCCAAGTTTCGGTTTCGCCTGCGGCGCCGGGTCCCGCCCCGAGACTTTCCCGGGACCCTAGTGCCAGCCCTGGAGGGCAGGGCGCGCCCGACTCCCCTAGCTTGGGGCGGAGGAGCCCCCGGAGCGCGCGGCGAACCCGGCAAGTGTTGGGGGCGGGCGCAAACTGTGGACCTGCATCCTTCGCTTCAGTGATTGCAGCAACTGAAGAGTGTAGTTGCAAAAAGATACCACAAGTTCATTTGGTAGCGACTTTTATGAAGAAGGCATCACCGCCCCGGTACAGCATCAGCCGGCCCTAGCCTGGGTTTGCCGGGGCGAGGGGCTCTCGGCCTGGGTGCACGCCTCTCCCAGAGGGTGGCAGGGAAGGCCAGGGCCGGAGGGGAACGTGCCAGTGCAGTGTCCTCCCCTGCCCCCACTTTGTTTTCTTCGGTAGGGGTTGGGGGATGGGCTCTGAATCTGTGCTGGGAGAAAGAGCCGGAAATGGGAGAGCCGATGGAAGCTCTCGCCCAGGCTGGGAGCTATTCGGTGCATTAGGACGGCTTCCTGAGCCTAGTGTGGGTGTTCTCTGTGGCTAAGCGCTGCACTGGAGAAGGAAACGCGCTGGGAGGTCATTGAAAGTGTTTGAATGAGGGAGTGGCCAGCCTCAGTGGTCATTGCTCAAGGGTATGTGTAGGGCGTGTGGGGGCGTGGGGTCCAGGGCCTCGCTGTGGCAGATGGAGGGGAATTTGAAACTTCCCCTCTACTCCCAAGAAGAGAAAAGTCAACAGTAGACAGGTTAACTGGAGAAGGGCAAACAATTATTATATGCTTTGGGGAGCCTCACAAATACCAGCCTAAGGCAGGGCCAGCTGGTGAAGTTGGCAGGGAGGTGCCTGAGTAATAGGGTGTCTTGTTATGCAGATGAGGCCTCAGGTAATCTCTGGCTGCCCCTGCCAGATCCTTGGGATCCTTGTAGCCCGTGGCAATCTCTGCCCATCTCCCGTCTCTGCTTATCCTTGTAGCCCGTGGCAATCTCTGCCCCTCGTCTCTGCTTGACTGCTGACCAGCCCTTCCCCCATCCCTCTCTGGGCCAGCGAGGGGCTCAGGGAAAGCCCCTGCTTGCACCCACTGTTTACTTATGTTCCTTTACAGTCACAGAAGTCTGTCTCCTCCATAGCTGAAGCCAGGGAACCCCACACATCTGATCCCTCACCACCACGACCCCCAATCCCTGTCCTGTCTGGCCACTGCTTGAGCACAGTTTCTGGTCTGAAGCCAGCAGAAAAGGGTGGTGGGAGGGTGAGGGTGCCCTTGGGACTTTTACCACAGAGTTGGGTCAGGTGTCAGGTGGCCACCAGCTGTCTGCACCCCCAGCCTGGATGCACTAAGTGCCCACCCTGAGTGCGGGCCTTGGCCTGGGTTAGCAGGGACCCTCATCCAGGTTTGATGCCACCCACCACAGAGGTTGTCCTGGGGACAGAGGGTCCGGTGAGCCCTGAGTGATTCTGTAGTGCTGCAAGGGCAGGATGAGGAGGCTGAGCACCGGGCTCAGGGCAGGCAGTGCCTGCCCCTCATCTTACTTGCCCCGAGCCCCCCCACCCCGCACCTCCCCTCAAGTTCTCAGGGGCTAGGATTCCAGGACCCAGGAACACCTTAGACTCACTGAATGATGGAGAGGACAGAGACTACAGGGACTTAGTGCTCTGGAGGGGCGGGAGCCGGGCTGCAGGTGGGGGGTGCAGGTGAGGAATGCGATGGCTTCATTGACTAGGAGTGGTGCTGGGGAAGGCTGAGTTTCCATCGACCCAGGAACCTTCTGGGCTGCTATAATTTCCCTTTCTCAGAAAATGAAACTGAAGCAGAGCTGGGTCATGTGATAGCCGGCAATGTACATAACAGCTGCCTCTGACTCCCGCTTTCAGACCTGCAGGGTCGGGCACCGGGAGCAGCCACGGTAGGAGCATGGAGTGCCCTTCGTGCCAGCACATCTCCCCGGAGGAAGCCGCCAAGTTCTGCAGCCAGTGTGGAGTGAGACTTCATCCTTCTGCCACTCCCGCCCCCGTAGCAGGTGAGGAAGTGCTGGGGACCCACTGGGGCAGTGGGGACCCCCAGGGGTGGACAGCTAGCCCTGCCTGTCCCACTGCCTTTCCAGGAAACGGAATCCGTGGTCAGCAGCAGCCCTCTGCTACAGACCTCTGTTGACAAGCACTTTCGGGGAAGAGCTGTTTTCTGGTTCTGTCTGGACCCTTGGCTGGAGATGCCTGTTGCTTTTTTGAACTTTCGGTTTCATTTCCTAGAGAGAACTCAGAATGCTGCTTCTCCTTGGGAACTGAAGTATAGGGCTGGGCTGGGGTGTTTGGAGGGTTTCAGAGGATGCCACAGGGAAGTTTGAGGTGCTGTGGGGTGGGAAGGACTCTGCCTGGCTTGTTTGTGAGGGACAGTGGGGAGTCCCCACAACCTGCCCAGTCCCCTTCCTGGCCCTGGGAGGCTGAGGGAAGGGAGAGAGCTGAGCGTGGTGCCTTCCCTGCTGATCTCACTGGGTCCATTCTCAATTTCACTGGCCTCAGACTATGGTTTTCCACCCTCTGGGCTGCTGCCCCACACCCCCTTGGTGGCTTCATCCAGTTCTGGGGTTTCAAACTGCACACATGCACTGGCACCCCCTGTGTTAACCCTTTCATTCCAAGCCTCTCCCCTGAACGCTGGCCACTCTGGCCTGTCCACTGGGTGTCTTACACCCCTTCAGCCTTTGCACGTCCAAGGCCTCCAGCCTCCAGCTCATCCTTCCAGCTGACCCCACCTGAGCCCTAACTCTGACCTCAGGCTCTCTCTTTCCTTCACACCCTGTATCCACTGTCCTCGCCAGGTGCCAACAGAAGGCCCCTGCTGGTCCCCCATTTCCTTCTTGCCTGTGTCTGACAGTACAGCAGTCAATTCATGAGCCCCCTCCCAGCATCCTCCTCCCTTACCAATTTAGCTCAGAACACAAGCCAGAGTCCTTACTGGGGCTCATGAGGTCCTCTGAGACTGCTGCCCCCCTTCCTCCCACCTCCCCTCCTGCTGGCCGCAGAGCCCACACATCTGCCTCTTCTCTCTCTCAGTCTTTGCCCCACTGTCACCTCCTCTGGTGGGGTCCGCTGTGACCGCCCCACCAAACACTTCCACCAGCCCCTCCCCCAGATGCCAAGCTGCTCCTCACCTGGCTGTTTCACATCAGTGGGGAGACTTTGCTCTTTGTCCCTGTACGGTGCCTGGCACACAGCAGCTGCGCTAGACTTCTTTGCTGGGTGCATCCAAGAAGGTTCGTGGGAAGACCATGTGTGTTTCCTAAATATTTGGCTGTGCTGTGCGGACCTGTATGGCCTACACATGTCAGCTCCAGAACCTCTGCTTGCCCATGCAGACGGCGGTCATTGCGCTGTGTTAGGGGCTGGGTGTCGGCTGCCAGTCCTTCCACCATCTTGTCCTGTGCATCTATACAAAGCGCTCCTATTATAGATGCTGTCACTGGGCTAAAGAGGTGGGACCGGGCTGCTGCTTTCTATTGATGATTTGTGTTTTATGTGTTTTCTTTTGCTGCTGACTCTTTGGGGAGGAACTTGGATTGACAAGAAAAGATGAAAGTCTCATCTTTTCTTTTGGAATACCTGGGACTCAATGGGTGGCAGAGCTGTGGGCACACCCGGTAGGTGTCCAGGTGGCTGCTATTATCAGTCCCTCACTGTTGAGCTACTGAGTCATGAGATGGCTGAGCTTCTGGTGTCCAGTGGGGACTTCCCACCCCTGGTCACTGGAACACCTACCTGGGCAGAGGGCTGTGGGAGCTGGGGAATCTTTGGATTCACAGATATTACTGTGTTTCCCCGAAAATAAGACCTACCCCCAAAATAAGCCCTAGCAGGATTTCTATGCATTTATTAAATATAAGCCCTACCCCAATAATAAGACCTAGTGATGGGCGTGGCTATGCAGCATATCTGCATAGCCACACCATGCGTTTAGGCGCAGAGTAAGACATCCCCTGAAAATAAGCCCTAATGTATCTTCTTGAGAAAAAATAAATATAAGACAGTGTTTTATTTTTGGGGAAACACGGTAAAATAACAAAACCAACCTGCTATAGCCAGGTGTGGTGCCCACTTGTAGTCATAACTACTGAGGCGAGAGGATCCCTGGAACTTGGGACTTTGAGGTCACAGTGAGCTGTGATGGTGCCACTGCACTCCAGCCTGGATGATAGAGTGAGACCCTGTCCCCAAAATAAATAAATAACAAAAACAAAGCCTACTCTGCTACCCTGAGATGTGGCCACCACTGTACTTAGTGTTGAGGGAGGAGCTTGTGAGGGTAAGAAAGATTTCTCTAAGAAAGCTCAGGATAAAAAGAAGCACAAATCCAGGCACGGTGGCTCACGCCTGTAATCTAGCACTCCCGGAGGCCGAGGCCTGTGGATTGCTTGAGCTCACGAGTTTGAGACCAGGCTGAGCAAAAGCAAGAGCCCTTCTCTACTAAAAATAGAAAAAAATTGAGGCAAGAGTTGGAGGTTGCTATGAGCTATGATGCCACTGCACTCTACCCAGGGCGACAGCTTGAGCCTAACTCCAAATAAATAAATAAATAAAAATAAAAGAAAGAAAGAAGCACAAAGTTTTATTTTATTCCTTCTCAGAAGAAAAGGAGGGCCCAGCACCAGAAATAAGAGAGGTGCTTCCCCGAAACCAAACTGCTCTGATGCTATTAGAGCAGGCAGGGTGTGGGGTGGAGGGGAGTGAAGTTTGTGTTTTAGCCCAGTTATCAGAGAACAGCTGGTGAACTGCCCAGTTTGCCCTTTTCTGATTCTCTGTTTTCAGGCTGATAAGGAGAGTTGGCCATTTGTTCTTGGTCATAGATGGGTAGGCAGAGACATCTGACATCTCTCCTTGAGGAAGCGGGGGAAACTCCCACCTTTGCTGTCTGCTTGGGCTGTTTAAACACCCCCCAAAACCTTCACAGGCAGTGCCATAGTCCAGTCCATCAGATGTGCACCCTTTTGTCCCCTCCCTTCCCAAGACTACTTTTCCCTTTGGAATGTGAATTGACCAGCTCTGGTGAAGGTCAATGAAGATTTATACCTTCTTTTGTCTGCTCAGCTTCTTTTAATTGCTGTAGGAGAGAGACTCATGTTACTATAGTTAGAGGCAGGGTTTATGCTACTGTAAGTGGTTGCCAGTTAGAAATTTATTTTTCTTATTAGCCCCTTGGCAAGATCATTCTTCCAGAGCTGCTCCCATTTCACAGATGGCTGCTCATGAAGCACAGAGAGGTTATGTAACTTGCCCATGGGCACACAGCTAGCAGGATAGGAACCCTCTAGAGCCCCTGGGGGAGCCACAGTTTAGGTCTCATTGACCTCAGCATGAAGGGGGGTGCTGGTGTGGGCTACTGCCTACCTGGGCTCAGCCTGGAGCAGCTCCAGCTCCACCACCACAGGCTGTTGTCGGGGAGAGGAAGGAGCCATGGGATCAGAGCTAACCACTGTTCTACTGGACACTGGCGGCTGAGAAGGGCAGTGAGGGAGAGACAGAGGCCTGAGGCTTCATTTGGTTGCTGGGAAAACAGGCAACCTCTTTTCCCTTGGAAGGCCTCTTCCCTTTGCCCCCTTCCTTTGATTTCGGTGACAGGGCCAGAAGGGCAACGGACATATTTGCCAACAGAAAGGGAAAAAGAGTTGATCTGTCTGAGGATGTGGGTGTGTGGCATTTTTACAGAATGCCATTAAATCTTCTCATACTTGAGCCAGAGCCAGGGCTACCTTCCTGGGGGTGTCCATCTGGAGGGTAGGGACAGCAGCAGCTGTGGTATGGGCCTTCCTCATGCCTGGCTGTGACACTAGGTACAGGGACCTGGCTAGGGTGGCTGAGGAGGCAGATCCCCTCACCCCTGTGGCCCTGGGGTCAGGCACCCAGATTCTGGCTGTGGTGCTGCAAGAGAGGGTGTAGTCGGGAGCTGAGCAGGGCTGCTGTGCAGTCTGCCCGGAGGCTCCCGGACTCCTGGGTTGGGGAGGGTCATCTCAGGTGTCAGTGGGCCTGGATTAAGGGATACCTGGAGAATTGGTAAAATACGGAGCTTGGCTCCATTTGTGAGTGTGTTTCCAGAGATTAGGTGAGTCTGAGTGGACTGGGTGGGGAAGACCGGCGGTCAGTGTGGGCAGGCATCCTGGAGAAAAGGAAGGAGGCAGGGAAAAGAGGATTACTGTCCTCCCCTGGAGCTGGACACACTCTTTTCCCACCCTTGGCCTCAGAACTCTAGGCCTCTAGCTTTCAGATTTCCAAGATGTGCACCAGTGGCTTCCTGGGTTCTCAGCCCTTCAACCTCAAACTGAGAGTTGTGCCGTCAGCTTCCCTGGTTCTGAGGACGTTGGACCAGGAGTGAGCCGTGCTGCCAGCATCCCAGGGTCTCCAGCTTGCAGATGGTCTGACCTGGGACTTCTCAGCCGCTACAGTTGTGTGGGCCAGTTCCCCTGATAAATCCCTTGCCACATGTCTGTACACATATGCTGTTGGTTCTGTCTCTTAGTTTGCCTAATTGGTTTGGAGGTTTCTGGAGTTGGTTCTATAATCTGATTAGATGTAATAGTACAGAGAGCACTGAGAGTCCACAGTGTGAATTGTTTGTTTCTTAATGAGACAGGGTCTTGCTCTGTTGCTCAGGCTACAGTACAATGCCATCATCATGGCTCATGTAGCCTTGAACCTCAAACTCCTTGGCTCAAATGATCCTCCTTCCTCAGCCTCTGAGTAGCTGGGACTACAGGTGTGTACTGCCACGCCTGCCTAATTTTTAATGTTTTTGTAGAGCTGGGGTCTTGCTGTATTGCCCAGGCTCAAGCAGTTCTTCCCCCTTGCTCCGTAAGTTCTGGGATTACAGATGTGAACCAACACACCTGGTCAATTCTTTTTCCCTGTCCGTGGGAGCCCTGATTAGTATTTTGAACCTGGAGATTAATTGGGAGTATTGTCATTTTCATAGTTTCTTCTGATCCATGAGCTTGGGACGTCTTTCCATTGGTTGACGTTCTTCAGCTTCTTT